GGGCTAGGTGTTGACAGGGGAGGTGAGGAGCAGGAGAGAAGACAGGGGCGGCCAGCAGGCTCCAGGGCACATTGGTGCTGCCAGCTGGCTGCGCTTCTCTGTGTTTCCCGACCGCGGCCCTTTAAATCGGTGGGGCTGGGTCAGGCGTTGCCAGGGGCGGCACCGGTTGCTTACCTGAAATGCCACCCCTGGCAAAGTGCCGCCCCAAGCACCTGCCTGATTTGCTGGTGCCTAGAGCTGGCCCTGGCTGTATGGAATTGTTAAGGGGCCCTGAAAGAAGTAAAACTTCAGCAAACGAATGCCTGCAGTGTCACACTAGTCCAGGACATGGCACTACTGGGTGAGCACATCCCAAAGCAACTGGTACTAGAAAAGGGATTCTGAGACACCCTCCCATTAAGAAGCGATGACCAAGCAACACAGTGCAGGGACCATCAGAACAGAGACAACAGCCATACTGGGTCAGATTAATAGTCCATCTAGCTCAGTATACTCTCTGATAGTGACTGGTGCCAGATATTTCAAAAGGAATTAACAGACTAGGGCAATTTCAAGTGACCCATCTCTCATGCACTGCTAGCTTCTGCCAGTTGGAGCTTTAAGGACATCCAGAGCATGGAGCTGCATCACTAATCAACCAACTAATAGCTATCCTCCATTAGTTTAGCTACTTCTTGTATGAACCCAGTTACACTTTGGCCTTCACAACATCTCCTAGCAATGAGTTTCACCTCATAACTCTGTGTTATATGAAGAAATGCTTCCTTTTGTTTGGTTCAGCTCTGCTGGCCTATTAATATTTTACTGGTGTCCTCTCATTCTTACACATCGCTATTCAGTGTCTCCACATCATTTTATAGACCTGTATCACCTCTCCCCTCTCCTCTTTCCTAAGATGACAGTGCTACTCCATATCCTAATCATTCGTGTTGCCCTTCTCTGCACCTTTTTCAATTCTAATACATCTTTTCTGAGATAAGATAATCAAAACAGCATGTGGTATTCAAAGTGCTGGTGTACAGTGTCCGTATTTCCCTATGTTGTGTATAGTGTATCTGGTAAAAATCACTCATATTCAGGTGAGTTCAATGGCAATTAAATAGAATTGTGCAGTACAAACTTCCAAATTAACATCAAGTTGACTGAGACACTGTTAAACACAAATATTGCATAGCTGAATTATTTTTATTTATCTTATCTTTAAGGCTTTAGGGTTCCATGGGCAGAGAAACATCCCCCCCCACGCGCGCGCACCCCTCTCTCACATTGGCCTAGGGTGACAGACCGACCTGACACTCCCTGGCCAGAACTCTCCAGCCTTCCTTGCCTGACTGGGCCCCTAGGGCAGAGCCACCTAGTGCCTGGAGCTGCATCTTCTTTAGGCAACACAAGGGGTACACAGGTCATTGGGAAAAGATGCACTCTGCAGAGGGGGATATGCAGGAGCACTGGGGTTGGGAGCATGAAAGAGCATAGCAGTGAGAGGCAGCAAGAGGGGAGCACATAAAAGACGGACAAGTGGGCAGCAGAGGCAACAAGTAACTGGTTGCCATCTGGTCCCTGTTCAGTCACCAGCCACCGCTGCTCAGTGCGCAGTCAATGCTGCTTGGAAACTGGATGGAGGATGGGGCTCTACTGGCCCAGAGCTGGCATACAGCAGACCATGTGCTGATGCACCAGCAGGGGGAGCGGTGGTCAGTTTTGCCCCGCCACCAGTTTTACATACCCATCACCATAATTGGTCAAGCAGGGATCTGACCAGCAGCAGCAGAACCTGCTAGTACTAATGTGGAGACACAGAAAATTCAGAACAATTTGTCTGCTTTTAAGAAAGACTCAGGACACTTGCAGGAGGATGTAAATATGGGACTGTCCCTTTAAAAACAGGATGTGTGGTCACTAATTATAAGTGACCTTGTGGTATTTTCTATAATATTTTATGTATTCCTTTCCTAATGGTTTCTAATGGAGACCAGGGTAAGCATCTGAAAGAGAAACATCCCAAGGAATTTGATCCATTTCTGTAAATCTAAACTAGATTAATACCAATCTTCTCTCTGCAACAGGAAGTATCCTGAATAAAATCCATAATCCCACAGATGTCTGAGTACCTCCTTCTCCCTATCCATCAGAAGAATTTCTGACAGAAAAAAAACCTCATGAGAACATGCCCTGAAAAGGGAAGTATGGGGGAATTGGAACAGGGTATTTTTTCAAACTGCAGTGCATTGCCCTTTATTATTTCTAGGAACCACTTGTCTAAGGTAACAATCTATCAGTTGTTGACAAAAGGGCTTCTGTCCATGATCTAAAAAAATTATTTTTTAAATATTTAAATACAGGTTAGTGGCCATTTTCTCTCCTACCACCCTATTTCTGAACCAACACATCTGACACCAAGAGTTTAATCTTAAGATTCTTTGCCATCAACAGAGCTGACAGTGCTTTTGGACACCTCAGCAGGAGGATCTGATCAAACAGGAGCCCAATCCGTGACACCACAGATTCCCCAGAATCCTTTAAGCATCTTAACCAGGGGTGGGCAAAAGGGCCCCTCCGGGCCGGATTTGTCCCGCCAAGCAGGTGGATTCAGCACATGGAGGTCCTGCCTCTCTCCTGCCTCCAGGCCAATTAGGGTCTTGGGGCAGGGGAGTGTGTGAAGCTTGCTCCCACCTTGTGAGTAGCATGCAACGCTCTGAAGCGCCATGTGCTGCTTGCAGGGTGGGAGGATACGTCAAGCGTTTCCCCATCCCCAAGAATAGAGGGTGAAAGGGTGAAACATCACCTGAAATAGACAGTCTCACACTCCGACAATCTAGAGAGGCTTAGTTTAAGAGGGGAAAATCTTGATGGAAATTTCATCAAAAAATCCACTATGCTGAAAGAAAACATGCATGGCTAAGCACTCAGGAGCCAGGAAACATACAAATTATGCTTCCGCAAGGGAAGAAGGGAAAGGGGAGGGGGAAGCCCTGTAGCCCCATTTCCTATATGCAGAAATAGATGCCTCTTAGTGAAGGAGTCAATACTACTTGGGCCACATACGTACCGGCAGCTCAACAATCCAGAGGTCTACCTGATGTTTGGTTTAGCGGTATAGTAAGGACCCACTAAATCAAATACTGAGGGCTTCCCTTTCGGTCCTGGTACTCGTACTCATCGCAAGGAGTAAGGGAGATCAATGGGAGGGTTTCTCTCATCAATCTCCCACTGTGGAGACATCGCCAAAGTTTAAATCTAGGTACATTGATTCTAGTTACGCACGTAACATACAGAACTCCAGCTATCTTAATTCAAACTTATCCACTAGTATAAACATGGCCTCAATGTGCATTGCCTGACCACAGGGGATTCAGTCACATATGGAGGAACCCTGGTGGTAAAGTAGAGATGCCTTATTATAATGTGACTCATGCACTGTTGTAAGCAAAGTAGAATGAGAGATGTTTTTACTGCCATCTGGTGTCCATTTAATGCACAAACCATTTTCTCTAAACGATATACTCCCCTTTTCCAGACTGAATGCAAGCATATGATGTTAAGTATGAATTTCTGAACCTAGCATATGATTTAGTTCATACTAGATTTATACTGTACTAACTAATGCAGCCATGCTTTAAGCATAGTCTATATTGCTGCACAAATATCTAAAGTTCCTGTACGAGGATTTTAAATTCATTGACAGGTATACTGTATGTGTGGTTATGACACATATGAGCCAGCCATATAATAAAAGCTTTTATCTTTAGCATATATATATATATATAATTTGCCAGCCTCACTTCCACTATGACTAGTGATTCATCTCCTTCAGACAAGTTCTAATATTCTAAATTCATAAGTAACTTCAAATAACTTTAAAATAATCTATCACCCAAACATTTCCTCCTTTACATCTTAAATGTGGAACTTTCGCTCCCCACAGGTTCACGTGTCGGACTCTGAGGATGAAATATATTGAATCCCAGACCAGATACAAAATTAAGGGACAGTATCCTGACCTTTAAGAGATAGAAATGGGAGTTTGGAAAAAGAAAGGGAAAACTCCTTGATTTTCTTTGGACAAAGAATTTGCTTTTAGCTCCATATCTAAGTAGCATTTCCATAGGAAAACATTTGCTTTGTAATTTTTCCCTCCAAAGTCTGTACTAGTAACAATAAATTATACATGTAATAGTAGCCCCCAGGAACCACAATTATGGACCAAGACCCTGTTGTGCTAGACTATCTACGAACACAGAACAAACACTGTTCCTGCCCCAATCCTTGTTTCAGCGAGTTTTGAAAACCCTTCAAAATACTTCTTCTGGAAAATACGTTGTCATACAGAATACCTGTGTACTCCCAGGAGGGACAAAGGGACTGTGTTATAAGAACACAGCAATTTTAATTGTGCCTGATAGTTTGCTTATCTACAGAACAGCATGGGATGAAATAGTAAAAACTCCCACCATGCTATTCTGCTAATGTGCTTCAATCTTTGTCAAGTGGGACTATTTGTGATTAGCTATTCCCATCTTTTGCATCACGTGTATGAGAACAATTAGGCTATGACTAGACTACACCCCTCTGTCAAAAGAGGGATGTAAATGAGCCCGATCAAAGGAGAAACAAAGCGGGGTCCCCCCCCCCCGAAAGAACTGCGTCTAGACTGTGGTTTCACTTTTGAAATACCCTTTTTCGAAACAGCGATTGGACGCAAATATGCAAATGAAGCACAGGATATTTAAATCCATGCTTCATTTGTACTTTTGATCAGGCTCATTTACATCCCTCTTTCAACAGAAGGATGTAGTCTGGACGAGCCCTTAGTGAGACTTCCTGAGAGAACACAACTCTCAACTCCTTTAAGATTAAATGTACTTGCAAAAGCAAACAAACGTTATGCATGTCTAACTTGAAATTATATATTTATTGAAAAAAATCACATTTCCTAGAAGGTATAACTTTGTTCTTCAATGTCAAATAACTATATTAGTTCTTAAGAGGAAAAAAAATACCTTTTTCTTTTTGTTCCTTTTCAGTTTCTTTATTTTTTCCTGGAAGGTTAAAAATAAAAATACCATAAGCATTTTAGCGAAGAATAGTATAAACATGCTATGGGAAAATCAAAACCTGTGGAAAGGATACAGTTAAATTACAAATAATCCATTGGATGGCAGCATATTTTCACTTAAATAATTTTGATCAAAAATACTTGGGTATTTTATAGCTTATCTAAGAGACGGTTGCTAACTAGTAACATTATTCTAATCTTTTCAAAATAAAAGTTTCACACACACAGACATTCTATACAATTCTTCTAGGCTCATCAGCCACCGTATGTTTGATTACATTTGTACTATAGCTTCTATTAACTGGTCTTAATTTTAACTATTCACTTCCACTTGTAAATAGGAGTAAAAATTTTAAATGTGTTTATGTCTCATTAACTTCCACTCAGTTTGGATCCTTGGTGCAAAGTCAGTTTTGAAAAATGGAACTTAGGCTTGAGTCATTTAGATGTTTATGAACATTTTATCTGTGATATATATTGATTTTCCTACTTAGTACTTCGGTCAGCTTTATACTGAAAAAATCAAGAATACAACTCTGCCTGAAAGAATGCACCAATGCAGTCTGCCCAAGATCTATGATTTCTAGTTTTCATAGAATTTCTCTTAGTAACATACACCCTAATTCTTTCCAAAATACTACAAGACAATTCTCCTGGGCAAGGACTACAAAAAAACCCCCAAAACCAATTAGAAATTTCTAGGCCAAGAGACCTGATGAAAAGGAAACAAATAAGTAAGGTATATCTACATTTTCAACATACTACATCTTTAGAACTTTTTCTCATTTTTACTAAACTTCCTAGAAATTTTATCCTGGAATGATCTGCAGCACAAAATCTCACACACACACAAATTATGAGGAAAACTAGACCTGTGCATATGCCAAATGCTGGCTTAGTATTTGAAGATCTCTCTATCGTTAATTATGGAGTGGTTACTGTTACTTCAATATGTCCAAATCGCTCAATTCTCTGGATTTTCCTTATATTACAGAGCACAAGTCAAATTATTAACTAAGTAGTAAATTAAGTAAACGTCAGAGTACTTAGTTATTAACTAAGTAGTAAATTAAGTAAACGTCAGAGTGCAAGAATTATTTGCCTCTGTAAAATTATAAAAATCTTCAAACTACAAATTACCATAGTAATTAGAAAGGGGGAAAGATTCACAAGTCCAAATATTCAAACTCTACAAGTCCACTTGGATAGGGAATACATTTTTTGATAATACCCTCATAGATGTAGTAGTAACCTGTTTGCACAAAACATTTGCCTTATTTGCATGCATCATTTTAACAAAATATTTTTCTACGTCCCTGCTTCAGTGTCTCCATGAAAAAGTATTTGATAAAGTATTTGATAGAGACTTACAACCTAGTCTCCAACTGACAAAATGATGCATCTGACTATTATAGAATCATAGAACTTAATAATGTGGAATTCTCTGTCACCTCAACTCCACCCACAAATCATTAGGCAAGACTGGATAGTAAATGATGCAATCATGAATAATGAATAATTTAACTTCCCACTCATCTAATTCCTTTCTCACGCTTTATTCTTCTACAACACCCTCTATCCAGTACAATAATCTCCTCCCCTCACCTGTCTTCCCTTACCATTCATGGCTTACTTCTACAGGGTTTTTTTCCTCTCTCAGTAAAAAGGTATATTCTCATCTTATTTTCCCTCGCCACTTTATCTCTAAGTTCACTCAATGTGCCATCTAGAACTACTGCCTCAAGTTCCTCCTCTACATCCTAAATTCTCTCCAATCTGATCTCTGTCCTCTCTGCTGCTTTTGCTCTCAAACACTAATTACCTTTTCTTGGGCAATTCTTAAGGTCTCTCTTCCATCCTCGTTCTCCTTGATCTTTTGCTCACTTCTGACATCAATTGTACCTTCCTTTAATTTGTCCTTTGGCTCTCCATCTTACCTTGTTTTCTGCATACTTGAGTGTTCCCCTCTGCATTCCCATGCTACTTATGTCTAGGTGATCTTATGTGTACACACGGTTTTAAATACATTCTTCATGGTGAAGACTTAAAATATATTATCTTACACAAAATATATTCTCACCCCTCTTGTCTTTCACATCCGGGATTGAAAACATCTACAACACTGCAAACAACTGTCCTCCTCCAGATCTGATGTAGGATTGGACATCTCCTTGCAAGTGTCCTGCCAGCAACTTATTCTTTCACACCCATCAACCCCTTTCCCTGTTTCTCATACAAAGCACCTCCATTTCCCTGTCACCCTGGCTTATAACACTTAAATGCCATCATTGATTTTGACCAATGTGCAAAAGTGAACATTTCTGGAGCAATAGCATGGTGCAGTTATTGAAAAAAAACTCCAGTGTCCTGATTCTAACACAGACACTTGGGTAAACTTGCTTTAAACTGATTGTACCAACTAGAGCAGCTCTCAGCAGTCAGCAAGTGGTTGTGCAAATGTAATGTCCTCCCCCATGAAGACAAAGATGTTGCCACAACATTTACCTAATTACTTTTCATGTAGCATCAAAAACAGTATTTCTAAAATTGAATATATTTTACACATTAGAAAAAATGTCCCTTTTCATGATTCAAATACATGCACTATCTTGCAGATATATATTAAATACACAACCATATATATAATTAACATGAACTATACCTATAAACATATAACCTGTAATATACAAGCTATTAGTCTGTCGTTACTTTTAATAATTATATTACAATATTTACAAATACTTTTATTACAGTTTTATATCAAATGTGACAAAATATATGTTGATGCAAATATATGAATTATGCCTACAGTATATTCCAGAATTTCCTATTTTCAAGAGTTACATCATAATCACTAGCTCATCTCCAATTAGTGGGAATCAAAGAATCACAGGACTGGAACAGACTTTGTGGTCTTCTAGTCCAGTCCCCTGCAATCATGACAGGATTGAGTATTAGGTACACTATCCCTGACAGTGGATAATGTCCAAACTGCTCTTAAAAATCTCCAGTGATGGAGGTTCCACAACATCCCGAGGCAATTTATTCCAGTGGTTAACAATCCTGACAGGAAGTTTATTCTACTGCGCAACTAAAATAGGATGAAACTCAGTAAGAGGTATATACTTCAGACCATTTCTCCAGTTTATCCAGATCATTTTGAATTTTAATCCTATTCTCCATAGAACTTTTAAACACTTTAAGAGGTATTCTCTATGTCATTATCTAAATCACTGATAAAGATGTTGAACAGAACCAGCTGATCACTACAGGCTCCCATCTGATATGCTCTTTCAGTTTGACTGTGAACCATTGCTAAGTACTTGCTCTTTGGGAACAGTTTTCCAACCAATTATATACCCATCTCATACTAGCTTGATATAAGTTGTACTTCCCCAGTGTGCAGAGGAAATTTAAGTGATAATATATTTTCAACCTTACTATCACATTTTAATTACAGGTTTACACTACTGAAAAGACAGCCAAATCCAAGAATCCATGGTCTTTGAGGGCACAACAGGGCAGGCATGGAAAAGTGCAGGGAAGGATAGGGATGTACCTTGCTTAGAATCCTTTACCGAGATATGGTCCAGTCTGAATTAGCACACAGGAGTATCCACAAATCAGGGGAGCGTACCAGACCTGTTTGTTTATATATGCTTCATTCAAAATGGTAGAGACACAGAATTCATTTTACACTTCTAACTCAAAATCTGGCACAACTATCCTCCAGAAATTTTACACTGAACGTGTGACCTTTTTACCAAGGACTGATATATTTCAGTGAATAAAATGTCATCCCTTCTAAGAAAAAAATATATACATCCCAGACCAAATTTTGGCCAACCAATTGTCTCTAAAACTGGACAGACATGATTCAAAAGCATAGCAAACACGCAACAACATTCTAGTTGACAATGTCAACAGATTGCCCTCCCTTTATTTTCCCTCCCCAGAACCAAAATAAATATTATATTTTGCTAGAGTTTTATCCTTCCTGTATATTAAATGTTTACACAGATGGTGATATTAATTCGTAGATAAGTAGGCACTGAAATATCTTCAATAGACACCAGATTTCTGTATTTAATACAAAATAAAGAGACCACAAAGCAAAGAGAATCTTCTGTCTTTTATTGCAGATAACATTAAAACAGAAGAAATCATTTTTTTAAGATCCCCTTGACCGTTCCCAGCTTGGCACACTTTTGTAAACAAGAAGCTCATAAAAATCACATACCTAATTACCAAGTGTTCAAAATTTGATCACAACACATCCTCATAGTCCCATAAATTCTACAGAATGTTATATTACACAAAAATTCAGTAACGTTTCTGTTCTTTACAAGTCTTAAATTTTACTCCCAAACTCCCTACAAAATATGGCTTTGTAAAATGTATTGCTTTTGCAATTAACAATCACTGAGACTTTTACACCAAAAATAATACCATACTCTGCTTCAACCCACATCACAGTTTAAGAAGATTATTGCTAACCTGATAAGTGTAAAAGAAATCTTTTGGGGCATATTTTATACTAGTTCTTCTCATGGAACTCAAAGTGATAGGAGTCCCACACAAATAAGCATATACGTCCTTTCCTATGCGTGTAAATGTAGAAACAATCTCAGAACAATATTAAAAAAAAAAATCTCCCTGCCAACTAAAACAAAATCTCTGTTATTTTACTGATACCCTATATTAAAATAGTGTACTTTATTTTCTCTAGTTCCCATGTCAGACTTCACAATATTATAATCACAGCAACTATTCCTGAGCCAAAAAGGAACACAGAAAAGGCCCAAGAATGAAAAGATGTCTTTACAGTTGTAGAACAGCAGCATGCAATAGGTAGACAATATTTCAGCTTTATTAAAAGTTTCATTCATTCAAAACCTAAATTAAATAGAATTGAGTCATTAAAACTGTTTTTTATATTTACAATATTCTTAAATTTTAAAATCTTATTTTTAGGTAAATAAT